TGCTATTGATACATAACATATTGCCATTATTGCTCTTTTTATATAAATATAAATATATATATGCTAATTGAAACTGAAATATGTGATGAATCCAAGGTGTTTCAGTGAGTGCTCACCTGTGCAGGCAAATTTGATTTCATCTTTAGTAAGTAGTAAAGTTATATGCTTGCCAAAAAAAATAAATAAATAAGTGACACACTGGAAGACAAATGTCACACAATTTCAATTTTATGTGTAACCTAGAAATGATGTTACTTATGGGAACAGAGAGCAGAATTGTGGCTATTAGGCTTCAATGTGGGTCTTTTAACAATGGGGAAACGATTGGTTTAAGGATATAAAACTGCAGTTGGACAAGAGGCATGGACTCTCTGAAGTCTTGAGGTCTACTGAGAGCATTATAAATATGGTTGATAACAATATGCTATATTTTCAAAGTTGTGAGATAGTATACTTTAAGTGTTCTCAAAACAAAAATGATGAATATGTGTGATATAGCATTTTAATTGGTTTAATTTAGTCATGCCATTGTGAACATACTGTATTCTGTATCATAATTGTGCATGACTTTATTTATGAGCTAAATAAATGAATGAAAAAAAAATCACTTGAAAAGTAGGGAAAAAATCAACAAATGGACAAAGAAACAAACAAAAAAGCCAAATGATCTATAAGCTTCATTCCCCAAAGGTAGCTTGTGACTACAACACTAGAACCCTTGTTCTTCAGGACAGATAACCCTGGGAAGCCTGATGCAAACAAACTATCAGCTCTCATTCTTTTGCCATGTAGAACTTGAGAGTTCGTGTAAGCTCATTTGTTCATTTAGCTCCAACCAAGCCCCGGGTGCTGGAAACACAAAGACAAATACAGCCAAGCCTCTAGTCCTAAGGAATCTGGTCTAGAACTGTGGTGCACTTACAGCAGCCCTGTGGCTTGGAGAGCTGAGCTCCACCACAACAGGAATGGAAGTCATTAGATGCAAAAGACTTCTGAAGAAGCCTGCAGCCAAGCCCACCAGTCGCTTGTCCAGGAACTCCCATCACTTCTCACCCAAGCTCTCACCTTGTCCCTTGCTAGGGTCATCCTGTCTCTGGTTTTCAGCCTTGATAGGTCTGCCTCACCCACATCTTGGAGCTCATGACTCACCACTTACCTTAAAGTTTTCTTTGTTCTTACATATCACACTATTTCCTGCCTCTGGACCTGCTTCTACCACACGTGCTCAGCATCCATGGTGATTGAAAACCACTTTTCCTGCAGAGTCCTGCACAACAGCATCCCCTTTCCCTTCCTGAGGCATGAGACCATTCTGTCCTGGGAGCTGGTCACAGAGAACACTTCAACAATGCCTGCGGCTGCTTCTTCTGTGATAGAAAAATACCAGGGCATCATCAGTGAACACAATGAAGTATGAGACATTCTGTAAAAGGGTTGGTGTTCTGAGTGCTCACTGTTTGTGCCTTCAAGTAGGAAAACAATGTAACTTCTTGCTCTGAGGAAAACCACATTCTTTAGCTGTCTTGAGATTTTTTTTCTCTTGTGCTGTTATAAAACCCTGACAAAGAGACTTAAGGAGGGAAGGATTTATCTAGCTCACAATCCAAGGTACCATCAGCCCATGAAGGTGGTAAAGGCAAGGCAACAGGAGCTAGAAGCAGCTGGTCACATGCCATCTGCAGTCAATGCATGCATGCATGCTAGTACTCAGCTTGCTTTTTCCGCTTTTTAACAGCCCAGGGTCATAAGCTTAGGGAATGATGCCATCCACAGTCAGCAGGTCTTCCCACCTTAACATAATCAAGATCACCCTCCAGATGTGCTCTATTGTTTAGAGTTCATTAGAGAGATGTATTTTTAAAATCATTTCGGTGTTTTGGAAGTACCAGCATTTCTCTTATGCTGGCATTACAACATTTAGGTCATTTGGGCTTATTTAAAGATGAAATGATATAGCCATTAATAGAACATTAGCTGAGTGAATGAACAATGCCCTCCATGTCAGTTCACATCAGATTTAACTGGGGGGTGACAGGGCAATCTAATTCCCAGCCCGGTGACAGTGACAGACCTCTTGCAGGACCCTGTCCTCCCAGTCTGCCTCCATTTTCTGAGGATTGACAACCATTCAGCAGACCCAGCTTTCCTGTGGACCATCTAAGAACCCTGCACACTTCTACCCCATTCGTGTTTCTTGGTGTCAGTGTCCAATACCCAGAAACACTTTCTACCTGGGACCCCCAGTGGCCACGACTCAGACCAGTGTCTCACCCAACCATCATCAGAGAAGCTTCCTCCTGCTGGACAATGTGCAGAGAGTGAGAAACTTTGAACTCTCAGTCCTAAACAGGAGGTCTTCATCAAATTTGTTCCTCAGGGCTCAGGGGGCTATAAGGAAGAGAAAGTGGAAAGGTTTTAAGAACCAGAGGAAATGGAAGACACCAAGGAAACAGTGTCTGCCACGAATAGCAGGACAACTCACAAATGAACACCAGAGACTTTAGCAGCATGTGCAGGACCTGTATAGGAGCAAGCCAGATGAGGTCCCAGCGCTGAAAGGGGGAAGTGAATATGAGCGCCTAATCCTAACCAAGAAACGACTTCCAATTAATCACACAAAAAGGGAAAACTATTGGTTTCCTCCATTTGTGTTTCTCTGGGTATACAAATCATACTTAAGGGTAGGCACTATGCCCAGCAATAGTTGACCAACACAGAACAAGCTCAATGGTATTTTGAGAAGGTATTTTTAGTCTCGTATTTCTTTGCTTAGGCATTCGTTAACCTTACTGGTCCTTTGCTTGTACATTAAAGTTTTCAATTTTGTGTTTTATGGTGTATGTGTGTGTATGTATGTGTAGTTGTGTGTGTGTGTGTGTGGTGTGTATGTATATGTGTGTATACCTGTGTGTATAGGTGTGTATTTGTGTGTGCATGTGTGTGTGTGTCTGCATGTGTATGTGCTTCTCAAGCTTTTTCCTTTTTTTATTGTTTTGTTTCATTATAGTTTGTTTGATAGTTTTTGTTTTCCTTTTGAAAGAAAGAAGGCATGAAACTGGAAGGGTGACGTACTGGAGAAGATCAGGTAGGAGATGAGGGGAGGAAAATGGTGATCAAAATAGATTATGTAAAAGATTTACTTTTGATTTTTTTAAAGCAGGAAAAATGAGAAAAACTGTGGCAGAGGCCTAAATAGAAGTAGCTATCTCTGCCTCTTTGTGCTGTTCTCCACTGGCAAGTACTCGGGCTAGACTGCCTCTGCACCCTGGTCCCATGGAAGCTTCAAATAACTCTTCTACTGGATAGATAGTTCGCTGGATAGAGACTTTGACTTTGTGGGATAACGATATGAAACCAACTGGTACTGAGACCCCTCGCTCCTTAAAAGGGAAAGGGAGTTATCAGCATAGCTTTAGAGACCAGAGTTTAGCAGCTACCACTGGCTCTGGGCGGATCATCCCAGACTCAAACTGGGCGGCGCGTTCTTAGAGTCACAAGAGGCCCCGCCCCTCCAAGGCCCCGCCCTCCCCATCCACTTCCTGTCCGATCCTGAGCGCTGCAGGTCAGTTCAGCTGGGTGGCCTGGGGTCTGCCTTGGGGCTGGTCCTGGCCTGGCCTTAGAGTTGAACAGAGGCCACTGGCTTGGGACCCCAAGAATGGGCAGGTACCAGCTGCAGGTTGGGACTAAGTCTGAATGCACAAGGCCAGGACGCAGAGAAGTTGCCAGGCAACAGTGCAGCTGCCCCCGCCCTCCTGTGGGGTATACAGGACGGAGGGGCGGGGCGAGGGTGTGAGTCCCAGTCCCCCCTACCCCCACCGTCACTGCGCTCCCTGCCTGGGGCCTGTGTCTCTGCGCAGCTGCTGATCCCCTGACTTGGGTTTCTAGAAAGATTGGGTTTATAGAAAGATTTCTACAAGATCTCTAGAAAGATTGGCCATCTCTGTCGGTTAAGCGTTGGGTCTGTGCTAGCCTCGTACCCTTGGACGAGTTTCCAGGGGATTCTAACTGAGACATGTGCAAAGTCTGTTTTCTAGATAAGGGAGCCTCACTAATAACCCACCAAGTACCAGTTGCTAAAGTCAGCCCCTTGGCATCCTCTGGGTTCGCATTTTGGTTTCCAAACATGCACGGATAAATTGGGTAATTGTCCGTGACAAAGTTCGAATTCACAGTTGTCTTATATGTGTTGTATGACTGTGTGTTTTATGACTGTACTACTAAGCCTATGTGCCAGTCAGAACCACAGTATAGTGTATTTAAAATGTGCATCCCTGGGGGGCGTTCTCTCGTGAGCTGAGACCCACTGTAGGCCGGTGCTGGGGAAGCTTCAGGTGATCTTTATCTGTGTGGATACCTTTGGGTACTGCAGTTTATCATGCAGTCTTCCTGTCCAAAACCAAGTGCAATGAAGCCAATGTACTTTGGTGGGGGAGGTACTGAAAAGCAGACCCTGGTGTACTTTGACACCTTTTGCCAATTTGTACCTTCTCTTCATCCTCAGAAACAAGCCAGAGGCATAGGTTTTAAGCAAGTGTGGGCATGCACATGCAGATAGTCCTCTGTCTGCTTACCTGATGCTCTACCTGGCCCTAGCTTCTGATTAAGCATGCCTGTCATGACCAAAGTTGGGCATTACTCTCCTCCTCTAGCCCTGGCAATCCATAGCCTGCCGTCCCAGCATCCTTTGCATCTGATTCCTAAATTACAGTGGTTGATGTTGCCTTTGGTGGAATTATTGGAGAGCAATTTCCCCAGCGGAGGCAGGGCTGGCAGCTCTCCGGAAGTATTGCCACAAGTAATGAGTGTCCCTTGGCCTTAAACAGCAGTCGGAGGAAAACAGCTCACCCTGCTGTTTTTTCATGACATTTACAAACACAAATCTGCCTTAATAATAGTAACTTGGCTCTTAGTCTTAGACAGATAATAAGCCCAATGGTTGTTTAGTGTTTTATGATTAATTTCATAATTTATACCACCTTCCTTAGAGATTTATGTCTGCAATGGCTGATGATCAAGAGAGAGACTTGCAGAGATTTCTGGAAAATGTGGATGAAATCAGTAAGTAGTTGTAAATCATGGACTGAGTTTTGTTCTGGAGAAGTGGAGTGGTTAAAGAGAAATGATGGCTCTAAGTTAGCTCCTGGCTTGTCTGACAGGTTTATGACTCTCAAAAAATAAAAGTGTAATTGAAATTAAACAGAAAGGCTATTGAGGATTCAGTTACAGCCTTGGGGCAGTATTTTCTGCCTGTTAATTGGTATCATAGAAGCCGTTATGGATGGTCTCACTGAAATGCAGGCTGACCGCTCTCCTCCAAGCACCTTTTCAGTCAACAAGAGCTGGTGTTTCTATGTTCCCAGGGAATCTAGATACTCCCTCTGGGGTCACCGAGAGCCTGTGTCCCTCTTGCTGTAGGCAGTGTGTGGCTTTCCCTCCAGATCCACCAATTACATGAATGGCTTATGGGTTTCATCTTCTCTCTCCCCCGGCTAAGAACATCCTACCCAAGCTCAAGCAGGTAGCATTTCAGCGAACTTACTCTGAATCCACACAGCACATGGAAGAGATTCCAAATCAGTCCTTCTCTCCCCAGACTTTATGGAGCTTGGTTGAGGCTAAAAAGCCAGATTTAGAAATGGGATAACCTCGTGTGGATACACACTTGTGTTTTGTTTGTGTTCCTCACCAGCCTCTCCTCCACTCCTTCCTGAATGCTTTGGTGGCTCTGATGCACTGCTCACCCATCTCTCCGTGTGAGCCTACCTGTTTGCTGGTGTCTATACTACCTTTCTTTCAGAGATCAGGCTCTGTGGCCAGTTGCCAAGTGGACTCTAAATCACAAATGCTTCTAACTTGATGTGTCCAGAATTGAGTCATCATCTCTTAATTTCTCTCCTCTCCCCCTCCTAAGTCAAACTCCCCTCTCTGCCTTCTGTTTCTGGTCTTAGTTGGTGGCCCTATCACCCCCAAATCTACAAGCCAGTGGGACTCCGCCCACCTTTACACCCTGTATCCAATCAGCCTTCAGGTTTGGATCCCCTACCCCACCCCCTGTCTGTCTTGTCTGAGCCACCCTTTGTTCTGGTTCCTCTCTGCAGACTCTTAACAACCTCTAATCGTTGTCCCTGCCACCAGGCCTACACTCCCCACAGAGTAATGTATCTAAAATGCAGATCTGGCCAGACAGTTCTCTGCTTGTGTTCTCAGTCACAATAAATCAGGAGCTCTCATCGGGACTAAGTCCTCACATGACCTTGTCTGTGAACCCTCTCATCTCTCTACACCTCACATGTGAGCAGCAACAAGCTGCTTGTAGTTTGCCCCCATACTCTGGTGCTCCATCTCTGCACTTGGACTTTGTCATTCCCTCATCTTTCTTTCCCTGTTTCATTTTTGTTCATCCCCAGTTTACCCTAGTATCATTTATATCAGCATCATGCAATTGAATTTTCCACAGAGATCCAATGATCCAAATGGGCACTCTAAGCAGTGGGAAGGTGATCAAATTGCTAATCCTATTACATTTTTAACTAAATTTAATGGCCAACATGCATATAGATTCTATGCATCCATTCCTTAGCACCCCCTGCTGTGTATTATAGCTAAGTACTACACAATGCAGTAAAAGAATCATTTTTCTTTATGACATTCATAGTTCAGTGAGAAAACAGATATTAAACAAATAATTCCAAGGTAATGAGTAGAAGAAATAGAGAGTTGAAAAGTGCAGAAGAATATGACCCAGTTCAGGCAGTTGTCTCATAGGACTGTTATCACAAAATACCAGAGGCTAAGTGAACTAAACAGGGTAAATATATTTTATCACTGTTCTTGAAACTGGACTGTAAGAACAAAAGTTTGACAGGACTCATTTTTCCTTAGGACTCTGTATTGGTTTGTAGAAGGCCACTTCTCATTGTGTATTTACTCGTGTGTGTGTGTGTGTGTGTGTGTGTGTGTGTGTGTGTGTGTGTGTGTGTTTTTATACAGGTGTGTGTTCCTGAGTATGAAGATGCACACATCTACTTCAATTTTTCTCTTATAGATAGGGTTTCTCACTGGGACCTGAGGCTTTACAATTAGACTATGGTCCCCAGCAGACAAGCCCCAGGGCCTCACTTCCCCAGCACTGGGATTACAGATGAACTACCACATCCCAGCTTTTACAAGGGCATTGAGGATCAAACTCAGAGCCTCAGATTTGTGTGTTAGCAAGCACTTTACCAACGAGGCTTTCTCCCTAGCTTCTTCTGTATACCTACTTTGGGGGATTTTTTTTTTCTTTTCCAGTGTACCTAAATCCCCCTTTACTACCCAGCGAGAGCCTAGGAGAGGTGGTCAGAAACAAGTCAGATCTTCCTAGGAAAAGTGCCTTCTGCTTGGTCATTGTCCCAGGTTGAAAACCAGGATATGGAAGGGTGGGGCTTCAACACATACAGGCACCACTCAGAAACTGCAGCATCACCCCTTCTCTCAGTAGTAGCCTTATCCCAGACATGCAAGTCCGAGTAATTCTGGGTCTGGTTCTGGTTGGAGGAGTGGCTATCAAAGGGGACAGTTTTGCAGTTATTGACTATATTCTTGATACCTTTGCCTAAGGTGCTGACTCCTAAAGATGTCCCCGAAGCAGAACACAGCTTAATGTGACTCTTCACAAAGACCTCTCTATGCATATTCTTATAAAGACACTGGTCATATTGGATTGGAGCCCCACTCCTTATATCACTTAATGACCTCTTGAAAGACCAAATACAGTCATATTGAGGTGTAGGGCTTCAGCATAGATATGGCATACATGCATTCTAGCCTGTAGCGCTGTCAACATTTCTCTCAAGAAGTGATACTTAAATAAAATCTAAAGGATCAATAGGAGTTGACCTTTGTGGCAGAGATGAAGAAGTGTTCTATTTGGGAAATGAGGAGATGGGAAATCTGGATGCTAAGGAGACAGTGTGGTGCTTCCTAGAAACAGAAGGGCTGAAAAGGCCTGAAGGGATGCAGAGATATCAGCAAAGAGAGAAGGTCCCATCTGAATGAGGAGAAGCCCGAAGAGGGCAGTAGTGGAAGCCACAGACAAGAGCTCACATTTACCAAAAGCAAGCTCCAGAGACCCTTCAAGGGGCATCCTTAGAACAGGGTGTGTAAAGTAGACTAGAGTGGGGAAATGTGGTGCTGAGGCTACAGTCAAGAGGCTGCTCCCAAGTACTACAGGGAGTAGATGCCACCAGCTGGGCTCAGAGTTGAGGCAGCAGGCAAAGAGACACTACAGAATAGAAAAACATTTAGAAGTTATTCTTGACAAGCTTTAGTGTCCTTGGCTGTGGGGGCTGAGAGAGAATGAGAACTTAAGGATATGTCCTGAGATTTGAGTGACAGGAAGAAGGCCAGTGATTTACTGAGATGGGGGCATTTGAAGCAGAACAGACTTAGAAGAAAGTTGGGTGTGTCAAGTTTGATGAGTAACACATCCCAGAGAAGATGTTAGTGTGCAGTAGCCTTTAGGCTTGAGCCTAGAGAGATACATCTATAAGACAGACTTAGATTAAATGCTTAAAAATATAGAAATATTTACCAAGTAAATACAAATATTTACCAAGTAAATTCAAAGAAGGTAGATGCCAAACATTAATGTACAAAATGGACTTTAAAACAAAGGTCCTACTAAATTTTATTTAACAAATTTATATGTATTTTGATGTCATATTTTTTATATATTATGAACTAATTAGGCCAATAAAATTTACCTGCCAGACCACATACCTGACACCTCCTTTAGTGAATACATTAAATGTTTACCCTCCTAGCAATTTTCAAGTGTACAGTACATGACTTTGACTACTGTGTACTACAATGGAGGCATGTGTTCCTCTTGTCTGGCTATGACCTGCCTTGTACTCTTTGTTCTCCAGCCCCCTAAACAACCTCTGGTGACCACCATTCTACCCTGCTTCTATGAGTTGGGGAGCAGGCAGCATTGTGCTGTCTAGTCTCCAAGTGATCCTCTATGTTTCTATCAGGAATAACACTAAAGAATATGGGAGTGCCGATAACTCTGTGTAGGATGATTTTTATTTCCTTTGTATTCATACCTTGAAATGAGGTTTCTGCATTTTTGGCCTCAGGGATATTGCATTTAAATATGAAAACAAATCTGTCAAAAATATTTAAGACCTTTGTGGAGAAAATTATAAAAATTTAATTGAAAGGGCTCCTGGTGGGGAAAATGGGGACATATAAGCAACAGAGTAAACAACATAGTTTTACATTATAATCCAAAGTAGAAAATAAATAGCCATGAAGTCACACTGACATGAATGAGATTGGATAAGTAAGTAGGTAAATGAATAAAGTAAGTCTCATACCCAGGTGAATTCTTTATCACTTGTGTTTCTGTCATGGAGGTGAAGCATACCTCTTCTCCCCTTAAATGAGAGATTCATTAAGGCTTGCTTGCAAAGCATGCAGTATAGAAAGTGGATAGACGCTGGCAAACACAACCTTCCACAAATGGTCACAGTTAACATCATGGTAAATCATAGTGATAGCATGTACCCTAAAATGCTTTGGAATGTCTTCCTTCCCTGTCCTACAGCCCAAGTCTAGCCATTAGAAACATGCCAGATAAACCCAAGTAGGAAGACACTCTGACAAATAAGTACTGGGAACAGTTACCCAGTACTCTTGGAAACTGTTCAAGTGAAGCCAAAGAGATGACTCAGTGGGTAGAGGTGCATGCTGCCAAGCCTGATGATCTGTCCGTTCCCCAGAATTCTAGCCTCAGAACCCACCCGGTGGGAGGAGAGAACCAACTCCCACAGTCCTTTGACCACTGTGGCACCTGCACATTCATTCCACCCCTGAAAACACAGCCATTAAATAAATGTTAAGACCAACAAATAAAAGTTGTAGAAGTCGTCAGAAACATGGAAGGCTTGAACAACAGCCACACCCCCGAGAAACCGAAGGAAAGAACTATTGCAACCAGCTGCCCTTGATGAGATCCCAGGCCTGAGGAAGGACATTAGGAGAAGCTAATCGAGTTGGGATGAAGTATGGGGCTTGGTCAATACAGATGGTATTAAAACACATAAGAGAACACCTATGTATAAAAAGACACATATTTTTTTTTTCCTCAGAGATCATTTGGCAAAGACAATGATTGTCCTCAAATCCTTTTGCACAATTCGTTTAAATCAAAATCCCCAAAGTGGTTTGTGTTCAAATTTAACAAATTGCCTTTAAAGGTCCATGTGGAAGAGCAGAAAAAAAAAATGGTGAGATCACATTCCACTGTTTGAGGTTTAAAACAAACAGACAAAAATCCTGCAGTGATGTGTCTGAGGATGAGTGTGCTAGAAAGTTCAAGCAGTGCAGCAGAAAGGAACGAGGAGCGTAGCACAGATTTCATATCTGTCACAGGGAAGACAAAACACACAGCGGGGAAGGTAAGGACTCTTCATCCTCAGTGAGGTGTGCTCTACCCTGCACAAGATTCAAGTCTACACATGGATCTGATGCAGGGATAGGGAAAGAAAATAACTAAACCCAGATTTAATATATATATATATTTAATATATATTTATATTATATTTAATATATACATATTATATTATATATTATATATAATATATACATATTATATTATATATTATATATATACATATTATATTATATACATAATATATTTAATATATACATATATCTGTGTGAGTGTATATGCAGGTGCCCAAGGAGGCTGGGAGAGGATGTTAGACCAACCCAAGCCTGCATAAAAACAAATGAAAAGACATTGTACTCAAGGATAACTTCAAAATTCATGTGACCAGTTCAGAATTTATATGGAAGACATTTAAATCAATGCAAAGGGGACACATGACTCAGTAGAAAATGGGCCAATGATAAGAATAGGCATGTTATAGAAGAATAAATCTAAATGGCCCTCAAACTAATAAGATAGTCAGTCCCAATCATAATCATCAAAGTGAAAAATAACATGTTAATGAAATTCCAGTCTCATTCATTATGGTAGCAACAGTTTAAAAGTTTGACAATAGTCGGTGTTGACAACAATGTAAAGGAGTGCAGCCTCTTTCTTTATATTTATTTATTTTGTTTATTTATTAATTTTCTTCTATTTTTCTTTGGACTTACTCTCCCATTTATTTCATAAAAATTTTAATTAGCTTTATAAGATATAGAGCTTCATCATAGATCATTTTAAATTTGCACTTATTTGTTTACCAGGGAGAGGGGGTTGCATGCATGTGTGAAGGTCAGAGGGCAACTTTCAGAAGTTAGTTCCTTCCTTTCACTCTGTGGATCTTGGAGATAGAATTCAAGCGGTCAGCCTTGGCAGCAGACACCCTTATCTACTGAGCCATTTGGCTAGTCTAGAAACTCTTTCCTATAAACTACTTATGAAACTTGAAATAGTCATATCCTGAAGAATATATAGCATGCACATATAGGTATTTAACTCAAAATTTATCCACTGTCTGAAACATAAAAAAAATGTATTCATATGAATATCTGTCAGTGCTAAATTGGATTACCCTTGACTCATGGTGCCCACACTATCTGGAACCACAGGTGTCATGCAAAATCTGCTAATTACATCACAAATAAAAAGTAGGCTACACAAAAATGTACATCTTACAAAACCGTGCATCCAGGATGTTCAGGTAGATTGCAAAACTGGCCACAAGTGACTTTCTTCACTTCCATGGTACCAATACGTTTCTCAAACCCTTGAATCTGCATTGGCCACATGACTTACACAAGCAGAGGCTCAAACTTCATACAAGAGAGACAGCATCCCTCTGTGGTGAGAACCAAAGATGGATGCAGATGTGCACAGCTGTGTGAGTTTGATGACATGACCTTGAAAGATCTCATCCCTGATGCCATCCCTTCCCCCTTTGAATGAATAACTTGTCCTCTATGTGGAATGATCAGACTTAGATTACCCCAAATTGAACGTCTTTAAGAGAATAATAGACTGCCTACTCTGGGATGACATAGTAGAGTTGCTGCAAGTGTGAGGATCACCTAGTCCAGTCAAACTGGGACCAGGTTCCCCAGATATTTACCCATCTTTCTCCATCAGTACTCAGCATCCCTAGTCAGGGCTGCTAGGTATGGATAGTTAGATTGGAGCGAAGTGCACAGATTCCTCTGGTAGGTGGGGTGGGAAGGCAGAGGAGAGGAATGCCTCTGAGTGACAGTCTATGAATACTCATCTGGATAGACAGTGCCGAGAAGAGAAGCAGGGAGGCAGCTAAAGGCAGTTGTTTTGTGAATCTCAAAGCTGCTTGTGTTATGCTGGTCTCCCACGCAGGATCACAAGCTTTTCAAGCCAAACAAAGGGATATTTTTATTCATCATTTTTCTCTAATATTCAGCAAAATATGCAACTCCTAATAAGCGATCCATAAGTTACAACTGCATCCAGTAGTGATTTAAAGCTCTATTCCTTGAGGCCCAGAATTAAATTCTCTGGCTGTTTGTTCCCCTGCCCCGACCACCAGGCAAAACAAATGTTATTCTTAATTGTTTCTCATTAGTCCCAAAGACTCACTGGGCTTCCTATTACCTTCTTCTCCTGTCTAAAGATTGTCCTTATTAATTTTCAACGGATGGAGTCCTTCCTTTTGAAGAAGTTGTTCGATTGAGTCACATGTGATTTCTCCTCTAGCCAATTTAATTCAAGAGATGAATTCCGATGATCCTGCCGTACAGCAGAAAGCTGTCTTAGAGACGGAAAAGAGACTGCTGCTCCTGGAGAGAGAGCAAGAGGAGGACGGATGCAGGACCACCTTGAACAAGACCATGATCAGTCCCCCACGAGCACCTGAGGTTTCCCTTTCTGCTATGGAGTTATATAAGTAGATTCAGTCAGGAGGCCTGCTGTGATCTCAGACTGCCCAATGAAGCTGGGATAGTGTTGTTTCTCAGGCTTGCTAAATCTGTTTTCCATATGGAAAGTGTAAACTCTATGGGTGCTTTTTTCCTCTTGAGTGTCATGTTTAGGTTGTACTTCTAAACTCATATGTTCTATCAGTTCATATTTCTAATACAATCACAGGCTGGGAGGTGGGGTGCCTTGACTTGGGCCATCTTGATTCTACAGGGTCAGGCCCAGGATTGTGCCCACAGTTACATCTCCAGCTTCAGAGCAAGCCCCTTAAATTTTAGAGCCATCAGTATTGGTGGTTAAAAGAAATGACCTACCTCCTTAATCACTGATGCTTTGTTCTCTTGGCTTATAAACACATTTACCAGAGACTGAGTTTTAAAAATTGTTTCTTTGTTTTTATGATAACCCGTGTCTTGCAGAATGCAGATGACATGAACCCAGGTAAGGGCAGCCTCTCTCTTTCCAATATGTTTTATTCATTTATGGTCAGGTTTTCTGTTCTGTTTTGTTTTATAGAATGTACCTTCCAGACCCTTAAATGATAGCCCCTGGGCTTGTAAACAACCCATCAACAAAAAACCTTGCTAATCACTCAGGCCCAGTTCTGTGGTCTGAAGAGGCAGCATCCACAGGCTTTCCTGACATTTGTGTTTTTGTTTTCTCCCAGCCAATCTTTTGTAAACTGAATTCAGTTATTCCTTATGATCCAATTTACCCTTCACTGCCAAGGGGATGCTGATGTTTTCCATGTTGCTCAGTTCTGAGACTCATTATGCTAAATAGAACCAAAAAAGGTCTCTCTTCAAAGGAAAAACTCTTCTAAAAGACACAATTCAAATCTGAAGCATAGACATAGCCACCACGCATAATTACACAGGTTAGCATTTAATGTCAGATGAAGAAAGTGACATTTTTGCTGCCTCAGAATTATGTGTACAAGTGCGTGTTTATGCACATGTGTGTTCATGTGTGTGCCTGCATATGTATTCATAAAAAATAACAGCTGTGAAGTCCCACAGTAGCTTCCTTTGGAATAGGAACTAAAGGACTGATTGGAGTATCTGGCTTTTCTTTTTAATGCTGCAAACTGCTTTGCTGTCAGAAGCCTTCTTGGCATCTGTGGAGAAGGATGCAAAGGAACGAGCCAAGAGAAGACGGGAAAGCAGAGTCCTAGCAGATGGTAATTGTCTGTCCTTACGTTTCAGTAGCTGGGATGACTGGAGCGGGAAAGCGCCCATGAAAGTCTGTGTGCTGATGCATGAGGACACTGAGCTCCCTAGGGGTTATGGGGGCTGGGGTTGGTGATGGACTGGCAAGCCAGAGGACCTGACCAGGCAGAATCCATTGGTGATCTATCCTCTGTTCTTACTCAACACAGGACACAGCCTCAGTCAGCATCCCCAGGTAGACTGAGCCAATCAGATTCCTGAATGGTGCTTGGGAAGGAGGAAAGAAGGGAGGTTCCATGGGCTAGCCTGAGCTAAAGGTATAGTCAGAAAGAAAAGTGAAACAGGAAAAGGGGGATGAAATAAATAAAAAAATGATAAAGAGATGGGATGTCATTGGGGTTGGGTGTGTGAATGTGCAGAGTGCTGCCTGGGTTATCCTAAGCACCCGATGGTATGTGTGATGCAAATCTTGCCCACTCCCTATCTTCTAGAAGATTATGGGGACGCTTGCCTTGGTCCAAAGTAAACAAAATTGGGAGGAGCAGATGTAAGCCTCAATTCAAAAAAATATCATTTCTCTGAGGAACCACTTAGAAAATTCGGCATAGACTTGAAGGAGAAAAAAATTACTTAGAGAAATTGGACCTCAAATAACTGCAGAAAAAAACAAGTGGCAATGTATTGAAGTGGAAAACCTGCAATCTAGAAGGACCTCCTGACATCTGATGAGGGCTCACTGCTTGCCTTTTATTCTCACAGCCCTGAAGGAAAAGGGGAACGAGGCCTATGTCAAGGGGGACTACGAAACAGCCATCTTCTACTACAGTGAGGGTTTGGGGAAACTGAAGGACATGAAAGTGCTGTATACCAACAGAGCCCAGGTAGGTGTCCCATGCCAGGATCTGCAGTGGCGACCTGGAGAACAGGTGCTGGGAAGCCTGGCAAAACAAAAACCAGGGTAAACAGCACATTGGTGAGTGTAAATGTTTACCAAGCAGCTTTTGTGGTTTTATATTGCCTGTGTCCGTTTCCATGGTATAAATTCTTGCCATAATCAGTCTTCAGTCACCCATGTGACTGGGTCTGGGGAGAGTTGTGCATAACCAGCTTTCTCCACCATGCAAGTTGGCTCCTGCAAGCCACCCATGATGACCGGACACTTTATCCCATGTAGATAAAGGAGACTGAAATGACCCATGAGAACTTGAAATCTGCCACCTTTGTATTTCCAGTGGACTCTCAAAGGCTGTTATCCTAGTTAGTTTTCTGCTCATTTTATCAAACCTGTGTTTTTGATTGCATGGTTGGGTAGCCTACAGCCAGTTTCTCAGGAACTCAGAGTTTCTAAACTCCTTGCCCCTCAGGTTTATTTCACAGCGAACCTCAGTTTCTCAAAACACCGGGCATAACTATCATCCCCCACCCCCATGTTTCTTACCTGCTGCTTAACGAAGGCAGGAGGCTGATAGCTATCATTGGAAACAAAAACATCACTAGCAACCTTATCTTTGAGATACAGAGAAGTCTGGGGTGGCAGATCCTATGATGGACAGGACCTGTCAGCAGGACCTCTATGAGACAGACTTGATGCCATGTCATTTACCAGAGAGAGAGGCAGCCACAGAGCCTCATCAGTTCCAATCTCTGTAACTCAAGAATGCCTGTCTGGGCTTTATGGAAGAGAAGTATGTAGAGCAAGATACAGGACATTCGAAGGCTGGGGAGTCTGGAGAGCGGCACCGATTTAATGACGAATAAATCCAAGAGCAATATAGCCTCGTTACCTCAGCAGTTTGCATACATCTGACTAGAGCCCAGGTATCCTTTCTCACCCTCATTTGTGGCAAAAACTTGTTACAAGGAAAACAAGTCCATAAAATAAAAGATGGCCAGAAGTCGTAGCAGTGCCCATCTCATTGCCCTAACAAGATTATAAATATGAAGTTATTAAGGACAAAATCTGCCATGTATTTCTCCCTAATGCCCTGTCTGTGACAGCTATCTAATATCCCATTACTTACATAACACTAGAGCCATAAGTCCACTTAAAGAATTCAGAAGAATCCTTTAAGTGTAAGCAACCAACACAATTACTTTTCCTTCTTAGTTGGCACCAAATTTTGTATTGGAAAATATCTACCTACTGATGCTCATTCAGGCTAGTTACCCTGAAGTGATTAGAAAGCAATGGAATTGAATCATTTTTAAAATGTTGTGTAATTCAGACTTGTATCTAGTTCAGGTTGTCCATACCCCGTGATTCATCTAAATTAGTTGCATTTTTACTGTGTTCAATTTTAAGTCACTCTTTGATTAGTCATAAGGATCACATTAAGAGGGGCTGTGGATAAATATCAGGAAGTGCAGTGAAAAGCTTTAGGGAAGCAATTTCTTCCAGCAAATAAACACAGAATGTGCTGCCTGGTATTTGGAATCACTTGAACCACTGACTATTTTTAAAATGCCTCTACTGTTTGCATGCCATGCTAGAAAACAATAAGGATGCTGGGAAATGACTATTGCTTGCTAAATAAAAAAAAAGGAAAAGCCTGCCTCCTCATTGCCTTTGTTTTTCCCCTACAGCTAATGTTATAATCAAGATTGCTGGTATTCAATAGATAAATCTGAAATTTAATTGCCATTTAGGAAAACTGGCTCTTCTGAAAATGGGGAAAGGATGGAGACAACACAGGGTGTCAAACTCAAGTCTTAAAGGAAAGAAGAGAAACAGAAAGGAAGGAAAACGTAAAAGGCCATATATGGATAAATTGTAGAAGTCCATGGCGACGTCTTCAGGGTTGTTGGAACCTTCACTCACAGTGCTGTGCATAGATCAGGGTCTCAGTTGACATCTAGAATGATGCTGACCTCTCCCTCCCTTATGACTTTCAAGTTCAACTCAAGGCCAGAAGAGGGAGTGTGTACAGCAGAAACCCATAGCTAGCTGACCTCTATTCCCCTCTTGATTTGTCTGCATGCTTTGGTTCCCCAGGAGTTACACCTGTAATTGGCTTTTTCATGGAAATAGCTCATCTTATTGCCAAGAATGTCACAGTCCCTTGAGAAAGTTTGGATCATGAATAAACCTAGATGTGGCGTGGGCTTTGTTCTTGGTGACTGATGGGATCCTAGAGAATCACTTCTCCTGGTCTCCTGGTGCTTGGATTTTCTTTATTACATGGGATGACCATTACTGTTTCTTCTAGAACGTTCCAAAAGAAAAGTACCTAAAATCTATGTAGTGCTTCTTGATAAGAAAAAAAGGTATATATATATACCTTTTTTCATATATATATATATGTATGTATATATATATGCATATATATGATAAGGAATATATATATATATATATATATATATATATATATATATATCCCTTTTCTATATCCCATTTTATTATTAGTAAATATTATTTTGAAAAATGGTTTTCTGCCTACATAACCTATACCCATACTTACATATATACTTATACACACGTACATTTAAAGCTAGTAACCACATTTGAGAGAGAACATGTGGTATTTGTCTTTTTGACCCTTTTATATATTTCCCAGGTTGATCAGTTTCCCAGCAAATCTCATGTTTCTTTATGGCTGAACAAAATCCCGTTGTGTATCTGTATCATATTTTTATTAACCATTTATATGTTGATGGACATCTAGGCTGGTTCCATGTCCTCCCTAAATGTGCATGCAGGTATCTTGGTGTTAGGATGTGGAGTCCTTTAGGTAAGTGCCTAGAGGTGTTACAGCTGAGTCTTATGGCGATTTTCAGAGGATCTTCCATATTGACTTCCATAATTGTTACACTAATTTGTAGCTCCCACCTGTGAATAAGGTTCCGAGCTTTCCCCATATCCTCAAATCCTTGTTATGTTCTTTCTTTAAATGCTGATGTCAGCTGCTCTTTATGTACTGACTAATGGCTCCTTGATACAGAATTGTGTCTGACTGATAATGGTATTTGTGTCATTTCAGGCTTATATAAAACTTGGAGACTATGAGAAGGCCCTCGTGGACTGTGAGTGGGCTCTGAAGGTGAGAGACTGTTTCCCTTCCCCTATGACATTACTGGGCTTGGCTGGGGCCCCTCTCTTAATTCTAAAGTGCATAGAAAGCAACTCTGGAACCACTCAGCTCCTGGGTGCCACAAATAGTCCTTGGGGACAGTATTCCAGACAACTAACTCTTTAAATAACCCTAAATCCAAGCCTCCCTATCTCCTTATCACATGGGGCTTTTAAAAAAATTAGCCAAAAAGCCCTTCTCAGGGGAGAGGGCACATGAGCCCCCAAAGGGCCTAGAAACAAGAAGTGTTTATATCTAAAATGCTTATAGATTTTGTGTGGCATTCCATAAAAATATGAACTTGTCTCTGTCTGTGTGTGTGTCTCTATCTCTCTATTTCTGTCTTATCTTTCTATCTCACCGTCTCTCTGTGTGTATGTCTCTCTCTCTCTCAATCTGTCTCTCTCTAACTCTCTCTTGCACTTGTTCTCACCCTCTCTACCATAAGACTTTTCACATATTAGGCAAGAATCCCACCACTTGGCCACATCGCTGAGCCTTGTATATTCTGAGACAAGGTCTCACTGGTCTAGCCCTGAACCTTCTATCCTTCTGTCTGCCTCAGCCTCCCTGTTAGTGCAGGCCTCCTACGATTATAGGCCTGTACCATCTTGTCTAACATCATAATATGTATCACTTTGTTGTAATGTGACAATATTATTTTAAACAACTTACCATCAGGTAAGATTTAGATGCTAGGAAAATAATCCAGGTGTGTGTCCACTGCTTCTAATTCCCGGGGACAGCACACTTAGCCTCACCCAATGACCATGGCCTAAATCAGGAGGAATACACACTCACAGCCACATACTGGGCATATTTTCTTGATAATCTTTAAATTTTTATCTCTCTCTCTCTCTCTCTCTCTCTCTCTCTCTCTCTGTGTGTGTGTGTGTGTGTGTGTGTGTGTGTGTGTTTTGTGTGTATAGCACATGGATAGAAATCAGAGGATGGTCTTGTCCTTCCACCTTTAGGTGGGTTCCAGGCATTAGACTACTGTCACCAGGCCTGTGTGGCAAGTGCCTTTACCTGCTGAGCCATCTCAATGGCTCCTCCTAACTTCCTTTTTATTATTGATGGTATAATCAAGGGAAACTGGTGTGAATTAGAAAATCCCCCCTTGATTCCAATGGTTGAGAAAGCATGTGTGAACCTGCAGGTCACCTGAAGCACCTGATTATGTCATCCATCAGAAGGCACAGTGTGGGGGAAACACTGCTCCATCACACTTGGCAGGTCCCATGCTGATGCCAGCATCATACCTCCAGCATAGAACGTGCTCACCCACACTGTCACCTTGTTTGCTCACAGTTGCTTTTTCTGTCACCAGTAATTAGGAGAAAAGAAAGACCAGGATGTTTTCCTTGGCTGTTCCAACGGTAACAGAAAAACAACAACAACAACAACAAAAAAAAAAAACCACATCATTTTCTGTGGGCTCACAGCACACATTCTGTTAGGTACCACCGTTTTCCACACTTTTCTGACCAAAAGATGAAGCCTCAAAGATGAATTAAGCACTTTACTCAGAATCACAAAGCCAGTGGCCACACTGACTGTAAGCCTGTACTTGTAACTATCTACTATAAAAAAGTTCCTGCCAGGATCCCTGGAAACAGATCCCATTCTTTTCTGAGAAAGAAACAGGGTCTCCTCACAGGACCTCCAGGGTATCTTTTCTAATCAGTCAAAGACCAAAGAGGTAGACACACCCAGTGCTGGCCCAGGCTAACACACTGGCCTCTGCCCTAATGTTGAATGAAGGTCAACATAATTAACTTAATGATGACACCAAAACAGAGCAGGCCCAGTGGAACTGGCACTAAAATACTCACTGGCACTGTTAAGTGTCCAGTGAGGCTCCCAGCTGACGAGGTTTGGGTTGACACAAAAGGAATTTGAAAACTGGTGATTTCCCACAACTTCCAAGAAAGGGTTTGCTCTCTTTAAAATTCTTTAAAATCTCAGTAGTGAATATCTTTAGCATTCTATTATTAATAGAATGGGGACTTGTGTGCCAATTTAACATTTTTGACAATTTTAAATTGGAAGAGACCAGCCTAAGAGATATTTCAGGTCTGATGTTCCTTGTCAAAGACGATAAAGGCGGCAAAGCTGTTTTCCATTAGGAGCAGACCCGCGTCATCTTCATTCCTACCCAGTGAAATACATCCCAATTTGAGGGTCGAAGCCCTTCAAAGAGATAAATGCATGTGGCAGAAGGCTCTTGGTTAGACTGGACAGGTCCAGTCATAAGAAGATCTATTAGTTGTTCTTTGTGGGTAGAGGAGAAAGGTGTTGACAGGCTGTATCCACTTCTCTATGCCACACCAGTATAGGGCATGGTCTTCGGACTATAGACATCTAGTGTCCCAGCCATATAGCCCTGTATTCTGCCATGGATGTGCTCCGAATATTTGGTTCCCATAAATGGAAGTGAGGAGCATCCTCCCTCCCCCTGGTCACTCCTTTTCTGCTTCCTGCATTTCATACTTTGTGAATTTGCTATGCTCACCACTCTGTTTGCTTCCTCCTTTTCTCTAGGAGCTGTGTCCCCAAAGCTCCCTATCTCCTCTCATGGATGCACCTGTCATCTATGAAAGTAGCTTTCAGACCTGCTTCCCCAGCTCCAGATCCATCTCAGCTACATCATACAGGTTTCCACTTGGCTGCCTTTGGCTTCACAACCACCACCACCACCACAACCACCACCCCTGCCACCAAGGAAGTCTACAAGCTAACACTGCTTGCCTTCATGACCTCTTTGCATCTTCCAGACATCTGAACTCAGTTCTGACTTCTCATCATGTATATTTAGTTGGTGTTGGTCTTTCTTTGACGTAGCTCTGATGCCTGCACTTCCGTTCCTGCCACTGTCACCAGGACTTCAGGCATCAGCCCTCCTTCCAAGCGACTGTCTGGACTGCTTGCTCACCTCCCTGCCTTTCTCTGCTCTGGTCACTACTGCAGGCCACCTCCAGACCATCTTCCCCCCTTGTCACCATGGACATTTGACTCTCTTGATATTTGAGACTTCCTGGGGGAGTCTTTTCAGCCAACCTTTTCCAGCCCTGTTATTCCTCCACCCAATACTTCAATCCCAGCTGTGCTGTCGTCCATAACACTACCCATTCCCTTCTCTTTCTGTCACGCTCCCTTAAATTCTAACATTCACTCCAGATTCAATGCTAACCCCTCTCCCATTGCCTGCTCCAATTTAGACCCTATCTCTTAAGTGGGCTAGCATGTCCTGTAGAGTCGATGTTCACTTTTTTCATAGCATATTTCTGAAAGCGATTTGGTTTTATTTGTTGTTGTTGTTGTTGTTTTGGATACTGGGATCTTGGGCATATTAGGCAAGCTACATCTCAGTCCTGATAACATTTTTAAAGCCCCATGTCCTGGAATTAAGTAGCCAGATTTCAAATTCCAGCTCTGCTACATACCAATTACACAATCAACCCTCTCTTGCTCTGGTTTCCTTGCTGTGAGATGGGGGTGACTGGCCTGCTTTCTGGCATCTCTGTGAGGCTCACGGAAGATGCTCCTACAAGCCATCAAGCTGGATGCTAGCTCTTGGGACAGACTGATCAGCCTGGGCTCTCCTTAGTTTCTTCATAACTCCCATTCATTTAGCAGTAGGTCAGGAAATGGTGTGCATAAAAACATGCCTTGTAAAGCTTTCTCCAGCATTTATTGTTTCCTCTTTTACTATTATTTAGCCTTTCTTTAAATCACATTTGCTGTGAAATGTATTGTTGCTGCTGTAACCACAGCAACAGCAGCTAATAGAGTATTACCCAGCAGAGTACTAGGTGCTACATGATTCTTCCTCCCAACAGTGTGTGTGTGTGTGTGTGTGTGTGTGTGTGTGTGTGTGTGTGTGTGTGTGTGTG